CAGGACAATTCTTGTAAATTTACGATTTTATTCTTATAAAATTACAACTTATTTATAACCTTACTTGGTGGGAATGAGAAAACTGTGTCCTGCATAAATCGGGACGTCCGTCACCCTCTCTACTACGGTGCCGAGTTTTATTCTGTTTCATTTTCAATCTGCATTTTTTAACCTCATATGAGGAAGAAGTTAAACATCATGATCCTAAACCTTGTATGACCTGCAGTAATTGGAAGGATGAAACACATACCTGTTGTTCCAAAGTCATGACTGTGTGCACCCTGAAGTTTCCACTTTCACAGGGGTCAGTAATTCCCACAGAGCCAGGAAGGAAGAGACCGGCAGCGAGCATCTGAAGGCAACGCCTAAATAAATAGATAAAAATAACTAGACATGACGTACAGGAAGCGTCAGGCTTTATACAGTCTGATTAGAAACAAAAGCTAAGGTTTGAAACATTACAAATTCTTGAATTAGACTTTTTTTTTTAAGATTAGAAATATTAAATTTTTCAATTCAGTTCTTGAAACTAAAACTAAGGTGGTTTTGCATTTCTATTTAGAGCCAACATTACCTCCATTTCAGAAACATGTGAGACCCTTCACGCTAATGCCTGCTTTGCGAGGAGAATCCTCAGGTTCTGAGTTCAAGTTCCACTCCCACAGACTGCCACTTTGGGTCCCTGAGCAAGACCCCTTAACTCACATTCTGCTCCCTGGGTGCCGTACAATGGCAGCCCACTGCTCCCCAAAGGGAATGGGTTAAATGCAAGGAGTGAATTTTGTTGCTCTGAACTTTTGACAGTGTAATGACAATAAAACGCTGGAAAAAATCAGATAGAAGATTCCTTTTTCCAGGAAGATTTTTTTCCAGAATCAGACCTGGTGTAGCAACACTTTTCCACTTAAGGAGTTCTGGACAGAGCACATTGATGATCAACAAGAATTTTCTATCTTAAATGCAAAATATTTATATTCTTAACAATTTTGGTATAGTGTAGGGGTGGAACGGTTCACAAAATCTATGGTTCGGTTCGGTTCACGGTTTCGTGGTCACGGTTTTCGGTTCGGTATGTTTCCTGTTACACCGAAAAATAAAATTTTTTATAAAAATTAATGAAATGTTTTTAAAATGAAATTAATGAATTGTAATTATTTTTAATGATCCGCGGAAACCCTGGATCATTTCCACATGTTTTGCTGCTTTGAATTTAATCATCTGGCGCATGCCCTCTACCATCTCCAAGGGACTCAGAGNTCCCAGTACATATACATCAGTAGATTCATTATCCAAGACAAGCCAAGTTTATTTCTATAGCACAATTCAATACAAAGGCAATTAGACATCTACATGAATTAAACAACAACAACAACAAATATATAAAGCATAATAAAAGCTGGAGGTGAAATTAAACAATTGCACCACAACATTAAACTAATACCTCAGTTAACAGTTAAAGTGCAATGCTACGTTCACAATGAACTAGTGCAGAAACAATTGGATTAATCGTAATTAATCGAATTGAAATAATTGGCAACTAGTTTAGTGATCAATTGCTTACTGGATTATAGACACTAAAATGTGCCTTTAGCTGACAGAGCCACCCACTTAGAGCAGTAATTATACCAAAATTGTAATAAAATAAAAAAAACAAGTGAACATTTTGCATTTAGGATAAAAAATTTTGACAATATGTTCTACCCTAAAGTCGGAAAATTAGATTTTCACCTGGTTTAATTTAGCAAAAAGTAAGGAACCTTTCAGATTATTTGATCAATCAAAAAAATTCTCCACAGATTAATCCATTTGCAAAGTAATCGTTAGTTGCAGCTCTATACCAAATGCAATTTCAGCAGCAAAGAAGCTCCTGCTGCTTCATTTTTGATGCGTCCACATTAAGGTCAGATGCGCTTCCAGAGCATCTTTGATGCTCCTGAATCATGTCAGGTAAAATGTGCCCAGATGTGTCTGATGCTTCTGCTGCTCCTGAGCGGCTTTGCTATATGTGTGAGCAGTGGGTAAAGAATAGTTTAAAGTATAGTAGTAAAGTATGTCTGATTCTGATTGTAACCACCATTAACTATGCAGATCTGTCTGTATGTTTAATGTGTTTGTTTTCTTAGTTCTTAGAATGTCCTGTAGAGGGCGCCAGACCAACATTTATCCTGCGCCCGTAAGAGTAAGACAGACGAGAGAGAAAAAAAAAGCAGGCTACGTAGATGAAACACGTTTCAGCAGAAGTAAAAAAGTTGCTACTTAAAAGTTCTGCTGTGATACAGACGGTTTGTTTATTTTGAGCGGGACAGAATATACATTCTGTTCTGGGATTTCTCCGCTGAGTCTTTGTGTTATTTTCAGCTGCTTACTTATGCAGAATGTCTACCTAGTCAGAGCTAATGTTGCTCAGTTTCTTAACTGGGAAAAAAAACCCAACCGGAGTATAAGGTGTTTCTCTGTAGGTAGCATAGTCCTGTGAAATGAGACCGTTTCATGCTGAAGTGATATTAAGTTATTTACTAGTGAGCGTTTTTTTGCTTATTTTAAATGCTGAATTGATTTTCACTGAGCGTGAATGTAGGATTTTGCTGATTTTAGTAAACCTGCATGATCGGTTGATGCTCTGCATGCAGGTTGGTTTTTTTGGACGGCCGATAACTGAACGAACGACTGGAGATCTAGAGGCAGGAGGATCCCGCCGCCATCTTTGTGACTCGGACTGAACGATGGGAAGACGGAGGGATTGGAGCTCCTGGACTGGATATTTTGCTTGGACAACAGATAAGCTTATTGAACAAAAAGGGGGACCCCAATCCTTATTTTTTTCTATAAACAAAACTTTATGTTCATGAACATTATTATTATTATTTTTTTAAACTTACAACTTATGTGCACATTGACGTAACTGACTGACCAAACTGTTATATCTAAGGACTAATTACTTTGTTTTAATGAGCTTATAAGCGACGATTTAGAAAACCTACCCTCATTTGTCCTGAACATTTGATTTTTTTTAATACGGGTGGATATTTTAAGTTATATTCTAAAATGTATTAAGGTAAATGGTGTTATCTGGATTTTTTTTTGGGGGGGAGAAAGAAAATAAAATTGA